GTAGTCGTAAAACAGAAGCCTAGATAGCTCCCACATATATTTTTCTCTAATTTGAGGTTTATGTTGCACTAACTTTATCCAATAATTGTAAGTTATGCATGAAACTATCAAAATATCCGACTAGAATAAATAGAATGAATTCTGTCAAGTTTGGACAAAATCGACTAAGAGCTATATGTGTCAAACTGGTATGATCAACTGATTTTTTATTAATGCTCTCTTAAAGTCAGAATTTGTACTCTATAGCATTTTTTTGTTAGCTGAAAATAATATCCCCTCATATTTTGTGGAAATTATTTCAGATTGAGACATAGCTCCGATATACTAGATCAATGAAATGAAAAGACTGCCTTTCAGGTTATGATTTTTTTGTTTTTCTAATCTTTCTGTAATGTTTTCACGGTTTTTGTACCTCATCGAAAACAGTAAATATTTTTGCAGAAACCTATTGTATGAAAAATGTTTAAATTATCTTTCAAGTTGTCCATTAAAGTCACCATTCGAATAACAGGAAGAAATATATATTCGTAGAAGCCCAAACTGAAGCAAAATAATTCTTTCGATTGATTCAGGTGAACAGTCTATAAAAACTCATCAATATATTTTACAAAACCATAAACATTGTAATAAAGAAGTATAGTTTCAAATTAATTTAAAAAAGCCTTTCAAACATAGCTGCAAATTACTTTCGTCAATAAACTAGAAAACAACGGTATTTAAAATTAGAATTTGAATATGAAACTTATATATAAATATTGATTTTAACGAATTTTATCGGATTCTCATTTTTCATGTTTTCCCCTTTCTCTAAAAATTCTTATAATTTTGGTAAGCGACATCAGCGCCATCTGTTTGAACATAGTACATAACTGCAAATTTTATTTTAGTACTAATTGTTATATTTGATATTTATTTCCGTGTATAGATGGTGCTGTTGCATGTAGATAAATAAAATAACGCATATGGTTGCATCAAACATGAACATAAAAATGTTGAATACATGTATGTACAAACAACGCAACATTCGGTTAAAAATGAAATAATCCTTTTTCTGAATTTTGTTGCATATTTTTTAGTCACAATTCAAGAGTTTCCATTTGCATTCCATTCCATTACGCGTGAATTTTTACTGGACATTTTGTAACAGTTGTTAAATATTTTACTTTAAGTTGTTTTTTTACTCACTTGATAGTTTTAAATTATCCCCAAAAAAATCCTTGTATTGTTATCTGTAGTATTGTCAGATACACTATATACCAAACCTGTAAGAATTTCAAGGAAAATTAATCCCTTCCTCTTAGAGTGGGTCGAAAAGTCACATATATATGGTAGAAGTATAACAAATTTTTTAACAATTGTTACAACAGTTTACTTTAAGTTGTCTTCTAACGCAACACCCACTAAAAGTGACCAAATTGTGAGGCATATTTATTATTAAATGTTATTCCAGACAGTATTTCCTTCCAAAAATGTTTTCGATTGAAATTCTCCAAAAGAAGAAATTATGCCTCGAAAATGAAAAAATATGTAAGTTAGGTGATTTTTCTCTCCATATCAGAGTTTCATCCGACGTATTTGTTTGAAGTTTTTTTTTTCGTAAAAGGTTCTACAGCTAGTGACTGAAAAAAAAAAGGTTCTACAGCTAGTGACTGAAAATTGTCTATGCAGGTCCATGTCTTCGTATAAGCCCCATATAATGGCACCGCCCCCTCCCCCCTCCCCTCTATTCGTTATTTTGATGATTTTAGCGACGTTATACACCGAATTGTTTCAAATTTGGCATTTGAAGTTCCTAATGGGCACTACTGTCTATGACAGAAAATTGGATATGCTGGTACAGGTCCTTATATAGCCCCCATATAACGGTAACGACATTATTCGCCGCGGAATAGCTTAAACTTCGATGTTTAGAGTTCATATTGGATTCTATATCCATTAGCAGAACACGTTATATATAGGTCCACGTTTTCCTGTAGCCCCATATAAAGGTTCTTCCCGATATTCGGTATTTTGTCATTCCGTTTGTAACTCCTCGAAATACTCATGTAAGACCCTACAAAGTATATATGTTCTTGATCAGCGTAAAATTATAAGACGATTTGTTGTCTGTCTGTTGTAATCACGCTATCTTTCGAAAGAATTGAGATAGAAGTCTACAATTTTGCACACATGTTTATTTTGTCAGTAGACAGGTTAAGTTCGTAAATGGGCCATGTTTTCATATAGCCTCCATATCACGGTACCTCCCGATATTCGGTATTTTGATGATTTAGGTGACATTATTCACCGGAATTGCTACTACAGCCTAATGCAGAAAATTGTCTACGCAGGTCTACGTCTTCGTATAGCCCCCATATAACAATACCTCCCTATATTCGGTATTTTGACGATTTCAGGTACAATACTCACCGAAATTGTTTGAGATATCGTATTTGAAGTTAGTAATTGAAGCTACAGCCTGTGACAGAGAAAATGTCTATACAGGTCCAGGTCTTCGTATAGCTTCGATATAACGGTATCTCTCTATATACATTATTCACCATTTATTTCAAGTTTCGAATTTGATTATGGGAATGGCTAATGACAGATAATGCCTATGTAGGTCCACGTCGTACACGCCCTAATATAACGGCTATATTCTTTAAGATGTTAACAGAATTTTTGGCGAATGTTATCTTTTTCGAAAATTTCCAAATTCGTTCCAAATGGTGGAGGGTATTCAAAGTTCGGCCCGGCCGAATTTAACTGCTCCTTAACTTGCTTCTTTTGTTATTATTCGAATGCAAAGTGTAAACAACGACTTTGCGAAAACATTTGCGACTTTAGAGTGTACCGCAGTGTCAATGTAAAAAGTCAGTGAAGCTACCCGTTTCTGATTCTGCACTGGATTAAAAAAACGGTTGTAAATAAATTCGAATTAAGCAATAAATCCGGATAAAATTCTATCCAAACACGCTATTGCTGAATAAGTCCTACTGAAAAAGAACCAGTAAGTCGGCGTGGCCGAATATATGATAGAACTTCCGTAACAAAAATGTTTATATTGGGAATTTATATGAAGTAGATTATACCGACCTTAACCAAAAAACATTGCTGTAGGAGGGCGCTTTGGAAACTTCTTAGCATATAAGTGAAAGAAAATAGTTAGTTTTTCAAAAATATTTTTATTTTTCAATGTAATCTCCTGAAACTTCAATACACTTAGTCCAACGCTTTTTTAGCAATTATATCCCTTGATTAAAAAAGTTTTCCTCAAGGTCTTCAAAATAGTGGTTTACAACTGTAATTGCATCTTCATTTGAGGTAAAACGCTTGCCAGCAAGGAATTTTTTTAGATTTGGAAACAAGTAAAAGTCACTGGGAGCTAAATCAGGAGAATAAGTCGGGTGGTCAAGCAACTCGTACTTTAATTCGTTGATTTTAGCCATTGTTATAATACTCTTCTGGGCTGGTGCGTTGTCTTGATGAAAAATTATTTTTTGTTTTTCTCGAATGTGTACATGAATTTATTTTTTACCCCTTTGCAGATAGTCAATCATTAAAATACCTTCGAAGTCCCAAAAAAACCGTTGCCATAACCTTACCAGCCGATTGAATTGTTTTTGCAATTTCACGAACTTTTATTTGTCGATCATTTAATACCATATCATGCACTTTGCTACAAATTTTGTTGTTGTTGTTGCAGTTTTGGACGTCCAAATTCAGCAATCCAATTTGTATACCCTCCACCATACATAATACCCCCCGACATTTAGTATTTTGATGATTTTAGCCACATTTTCAATGGAATTATCAGAATTGCTACACAAGGAATTCTTTAGGAGTACTTTACCCCCTAGAAGAGATTTGTCTATATAGGTTCACGTATATCGTATATTTTCCCATACAACGGTACCTCCCGATATTCGGTCTTTTAATGAATTTAGCGATATTATTTACCGGTATTATTTCGAATTTCATAATTAAAGTTCGTAATGGGTACTACTGCCTATGACAAAAATTTTTGTATGCAAGTCCACGTCTTCGTATAGCCCCCATATGACGGTACCTCCCGTTAATCGGTATTTTGATGATTTCAGCGACATTATTTACCGGAATTTAAATTTTTTTATTTGAAGTTCGTAATGGGTACTACAGCTTATGACAAAAAATTCGTGTGTAGGTTCACGTTTTCGTATATCTCATATATAACGGTACATCCCGATATTAGGTATTTTGATGATTTTAGCAACATTATTCACCGAAATTGTTTCAAGTTTGTCATTTGAAGTTCGTAATGGGTACTGCAGCCTATGACAAAAAAAAAAAAAAAAAAAATCGTAAGCAGGTCCACGTCGTTTTCATTTAAGTGATAGTTTTTTCCTTCCAAATGGTGTAGGGTATTAAAAGTTCGTCCCGACCGATAACTGATTTTTTACTTGTTACTTGTTTCAACTTCAACTAGTAACAAACTTAATAACAGTTAATTTCTTGTAAATCCATTTGTATTTATTTATTTTTTTACTGTGAAGTTGACTGATATGTATAGTCTAAAACTATGCGCTTTATTTTTGTACCCTTCAATATACAATGGAGATTATATTAAGTCATTCCAATTGCTACTCCTCGAAATAAGTGTTTATGACATAACAAGTAATTTATTCTTTATCAACATTAGCTTCTTTGCCGATTTTGCCATGTCTATCCGTCGTTGGTAATCACTCTAGCAGAATGAAGTAAGACAAGACCATTTTTATGTAAATTTAATTTAGGTTGGTAGATAACCCGATATTCCTCATAACAGATAAAGCTCAAATGCTGGACCTTGGAAATAGAGACATATGGTAAAAAGAGTAACTTTCCAAATAGTGAAGGGTTTAACAAGTTCGTCATATTTTTATAGCATTTTTACTTTTTTTATTGAAGATATAGTAATGTCGTATCCAAATTGTTGGTCGCCAATCAAAGACGAAATATATTAGTATTGGGAAGGATTGGATATTTAAAAAATACAAAGTTAATGATCGTTTAAAATATAAACATTTATATTTTTAAGAAGCATACAAGTTAATTTTCGTCCAATTGATGAATGTTTTTATTTTAACTCTAGAGTTTCTGTAATAATATGTACTATTCAAAAATCTAAATAGAATTTGAAATCACATCGACCATTTTACAAAAAATCCGGATCAATTGTTTTAACGGCTGCACCAAATCTAGCTTTTGCGAAAGCTTTAAGTTCATCCTTGACGCTATGTAGACAGTCATCACTAGCAGTGACCTAACGATTTTTATAAAATTCATAATAGAAAGCTGGGATCGATCCAAAGCTAGACAACACTTACCAGAGCTTTTGGCAATAGGGTATCTTCAATGAAGCTCTCCATATTCAAGTGAACACCTTCTTTGAAAACAGGCATGCCATTTTCTACTCTATCAATGTACATTGCCGAAGCTATTTCCAACTCCTTCATCAGTTCGTCTTTAATTTGATTAAAACACGTCGAATCGATGTGTGTCTAAAAGAAAAGTGTTCACTCATTTTCAATACATACCTATTAGAAAAACAACTTACCGCCTCATCGTCAATAACTAAATCAATGAGTTTGTGCGTGTCTGCAAACAGATCAGCATTTGCAAAGGCTGTTGATGCAATAATGACATATGCTACAGTAATATAAAATTTCATATTGGAGATTTATTGGTTGTCTAATACGAGCAATTTCTCAAATTTAACTGACATGGCCTTGTAAATGATACAGATATTTATATGTACAACATATTTTATTGCCTTTATTCAAATTAATTAAAATATATTTAATAAAATTTATTTATTTGAGTTTGGCAATATGTGAGTATGTTTTAAAAATCAACAAACGCCTTTTTAACTTATATAAATATTTAATTTAATCCAAACACAGCTTTTTGTTACTTTCTATAGGGTTATTTTATTGCTATTGAACTCGCTTTTGGAAAAAGTGTATACAAATTGAACAATTTTAAGTATACCATTAACGTATCGCATCGACCGAAACTGTTTACAGCTGCTTAAAAAATATCAAATAACGTATATTTTTTAAGAAATAAGAAAATGAGTAAATAAATTACAAAATATGTAAAAACAGAACCGGGACTCGATCTGCTAGCGTGCCTTATACTTACTGAGAACCCAGAATGTAAAAATTTTTGAATTTAATTGAAAACAAGTGAAAAAATATTAGTGGGTTTTGCCAACAGGTGTATACCCTCAGCCAATGTTCGATTATTTAAATATATTTTGACTTTTGTTATGATTATTGAAATTGTAGACCCTCTATGGAGTGGGTTCCGAAGGAATGGGCCTATTGGGTTTATTTCGTATCGCACCTAAATCAATATGATATTAATATTGAGACGTGCCAGGTTTGGACTATATTGGTTACTTCCTTCACTTTTTATGAGATATGTGATAATTGTTTGAAAATCTGCGTCATGTGCCAGATGTTGTGGACCGAATTATTCCATTTTACACTTCATGTAATATAGATAAAAATATTGGTATAAGCAAAAATTAAATTAAGAAAATGGATATTTATATCCAATTTTATGTGAAATTATAGATTCCATATTCATCTAAGGTTTCTGGTTAAGAGTGATATTTAGCCATAGCAAGTTGTTAAGAATCGCAGACTTGTTTCGCAAGTTATAACGGAAAAAAGTATTGAAAATTGTGACCCATTGTGGGTGAGGTAACAGAAGGGATTCGCAGATTTATATCATCTTCACAACAGATCTTGTGGTAGCAAATGTTTGTTCGTGTGAAATTTGAAGAGAGTCGGATGCTTATTTATCTTTCTTTGAGTGAACCTTATGTGGGGGATCCGGTCCGATCTCTACCATTTTCATAACAGATCTTGTGTCGATGGAAATATTGAGATATACCAAGTCTGAATAGAATCGGATGCTAATATCGGATGCTAGTATCTAATGTCACATGACTGAGGGTATAAGTACATATATATTTAGAATTGTCAACGTTAGACAATGATACTTTCTACTCGTAAACAACAACAGTTTTTCTGCCACTAAATTGAATGCTATTTTCATAATAGAACCATGATATTCAAAAACAAGTAAAAAGTTGTCAGTTCTCCCGGGTCGAACTTTGGAACGAATTTGGCAATTATCAAAAACAATAAAATCCCTTCAAAATTCTGTTAAAGTCTTATAAATACCGAGTGTAGCTGTTATATTAGGGTAAATACGACGACATGGTCCTGCATAGGTAACTTTTGTCATAAGCCATTAAATATTCAAATGCGAAACTTAGAAAAAAGTAGATGAATAAAATAGATAAAGTCATCAAAATAGCGAATATTGGGAGGGGCTATACTAAAATCATCAAAATACCAAATATCGGGAGGTACCGTTATGTGGTGGCTATACGAAGACGTGGACCTGCACAGACAATCTCCTGTCATAGCCTTTAGAACCCATTACGAACATCAAATACCAAATTTGAAGGAATTCTGAAGAATAATATCGTGAGGTACCATTATATGGGGGCTATACCAAAACGTGGACCTACATGGCCCATTTTCAGTACCAAAAGTCCTGCAGACATAATATACATTTGAGTAAAATTTTATCAATCTACTTCAATTCATTCGGAAGCTAGAGTGATTTCCACAGACGGATAGACGGATGGACATCGCTAAATCGACATAGAACTTTATGCTGATCAAGAATATATATACTTTGTGTGGTCTAAAATATATATTTCGAGGAATGACAAACTTAATATACCCTACATACTATGGTGGAGGGTATAAAAATGTTTAACACTTCTCAGGTTTCCTTTTTTGGTACGAAGCAAACTGTTATGTCATTTTCAATTAAATTCATCATGATTTATGTATAAACAAGTAAGCAAAGGCAATAGTCGCGCGGGGCCGACCATGTGATACCCTACAACACTACAATATGTTAGAAGTCCCTTTATGTCCAAATCCATTTTGGAAGATTTCGCTTTTGAAATTATCTTACGGAGTACGGCCCATATATTAGCCTTAGCATTATGAACAGGGACATTTGCCCAATATTTACGCACTCCGTCGTGCTGTTAGTTGTTTTCGTAAATTGTACAGCTAAATATAATCTAATGGTCATCCAAAACGCTAGAATTCTTCCCTTTCCCTAACGCTATTCTCAGGCGTGTTGACTGCTTCAATTGTGTGATCAGGAATTTTTTTTTCCGTTTTTGGTCCATTTCAACCCCTGAATATATTGCGGACATCTTTGAAAACAATAGGCCTAGCCCTTCTGTGCCTAACCCTACCCTTTTTCGTGAGGATCGGACGATAATTGCAGACTGCCTATAATAACCCCAACCAGTATTGTAAGGTGAAAAAATATTAAAAAATATACATTTCAATACTAAGTCAAATTGAAAAAATCGCATGCGATAAAAAAATAACAAAATGTCACAAAATACTACAAAATCTATGTTAACATCACAGCACTTTTTTATGCGATTTTTTTAGATTTTATTCTTTTATGCCAAGGGCCATTCTGAATTGACAAAATTTGTCGAAATCTGCCCAGCCATTCTTGAGATATAAGCATTCTTGCTAACATCCCCTTCCTTTGTATACACACATTGTACATATTTCCCTATATATATCCAATATATTTATTATCGGCGTCTACGTAACGGTCAGAATTGACCTGTTCGTCTATTTGTGATTTCGCCGATATTAAAAATATTCGCGGTTTAATGGAAAATGTGACTTTTATTTAACACAAATGTTATGGTCTATTTCACCAACTAAATATTACCCGATGACCATCAAAATCGGAAGACTTCTGCCCAGTCCTAAGCTCTAGCCCCATGGTAATTTCCGCGTTGATTGGTCCATAATTGCGACCTGTAGAGCAACTGTAAAATCAAGATTTTTTTCAATTTTTGATCCATTGCAACCCCTAAATATTATGCGATCATCTTCAAAAGAAATATGGTTCTATTCTGACCTTAACCCCACCTCCAGTTTCAATTTCGTGAGGATCGGGCCATAATTGCGACCTGTAGAGTGATTACAAATTAACATGGACAGACGGACTGACATACATAGCTAGATCGACTCAGTTCGACGAGATAGGAAAATCCATATATACTTTCCTATGTGGGAAACCAATATTTCGTGGTGTTACATAATTTTTGGCCCAATCAAACTTATAATACCCCCAACACATAGTGTTATAGGGTATAAAAATATACAATATTTTTGGTTCTATTTTCCTAAAATTGATTTAATTTAATCAGGATCAATTGTTTTAAAGGCTGCATAAAATTTGGACTTGATGAAAACTTTTAGTTCTTCCTTGACACTATGCAAACAGTTGTCATTCACAGAGATCTAAAGTAAATTATTAAGATAAAGGACACACGATTTTACAATAATTCGGATTAAACTTACGAGGGCTTTAGGCAATATATTATTTTCAATGAAGCTCTATCAACATATGTGGCAGCAGCAACTTCCAACTCTTTTACAAGTTCATCTTTAATTTGGCTAAAACATTTGGAATCGATGTGTTTCTAAAGAATTTTTTTAGAGAATTTTAAAGAATTGTTGTTTTATATTTTAAGCTAAAATCACACTCTCATCTGCAATAGCCAAATCAATGAGTTTATGTGTGTCCTCAAAGACTCCTGCATTTACAAAGACGGCCGATAAAATAACGCCAAAAACAAAGGAAATTTGAAATTTCATATTAATTGTTTATTAATAGTTTTGTGCCGAGTATGTCCAAAACTTAGCTGTTCAACCATGTTAATGGTTGGTTCAACCAACTATTTATACCGAAATTTTATTTAATTGTGTTATTCGAATTATTTTGCAAATATTTAACTAGTTTTCATTCGAAGTTAATAAACATGTGCGTGCCGCTTAAATAGGGTTTTCCAACATGAATTGACACTTGATTCTAATTCGAACAGAGCTATTTTAAATAGAATCATTATATTTTTTGTTTTGACAAATATAAACATAAACTGAAAAAAGTTATTTTTTATTATTATAGAAAAATTATAACCGTAAATTGTCTTGAATTACTACTCAGTACATGCAAAATGTCGGGCACTTGCACTGTATTTACCTCTTCTGTCATGTTAAAGAGAACTTAAAACAATATATTATAAGCAAGCAGATTCTCAGGAGGGGCCAACCATGCGATACCCCACACCGCTATAACTTGCGTGAAAATTTGGCCCCTTATGATATATGGATTAATTATTAGACTACATAAAAAACTCGAACATTTTTCGAAGATAACACCATAAATACCATAGATAATACGAAATTAGCATAAAAGTAAAGATCAGAAGTGCCCTAGAAGATAGGACCATTACCATTGACCATTAATAATATTCGCGGTTGAATGGAAGTTTATCCCACATAAGTTATCACCCGCTAAATTATGCGATGACTATTTAAATATGAATAAAAACACATGCTACGTTGGACAATCCTGTATCGCAGAATCCGCCACTACGCAGTTCACAACTATCTTCAAGAAATTGAAAAGTGGACAAATCAAAAAACATGTGGCAAAGAAAAATTTATAAATACAACTGGGCCTATCTAAAAATTACTGCGCCTAAAACTGCTAATGATAATAAGATCGGTGGAATAATGCAGTTAAGGTAAGAACATATAGAATAAGTCATTGACTGACTAAAGTCATCGGCTGGCTTCTTTGGCAAACGACAA